ATGAGCAGCTGGCAGAGGGACAAGGTCAACCCAACACATTTAAAAAAAACCAAACCTTTAGTCTTTGAAAAAGATCTTTGATTTACTTAACCTGAAACAAAGGAATATCAGAAAATAAAGACTTAAGAAGGACAAAATCTGTCAACAAAGGCAGTAACAACTTGGTAATCCTAGAATCCTTTCAAATGAAGCAACTAGGAATGAACAAACAGAACTCTACAGTCAAAAAAATTGTATTCTTATTAAATCCATTTTGCAGCAGACTTAATGACCCAGACACTTATGGTTTATAGTTGAATATAAAATAAATTTTTCATTAACATGAAAATTATTTCACTTGAGGTATGTCTGAATCATCTCAGTTATATTTTGACATAAGGTTGTTCAGATGGCAAGATTTAGAAGAAGTGATTAACACTTCAATCATGAAAACGACCTTCAGGGTAAGTGATCATAGCATATTATGTTTAATTACTTATTCCATTTAAAAATGCTATATTGAGCAGCTAAAGTGAAAGTAATATTAGTGTTTTCATTAATATTTTTTAATACCAAACTCAGTGGAATATGGAATATGTATATTTTTCATATTTTATTCTTTACATAATTGTGTACCAGAGCACATTCAGAATGCAACATCAGACTAATTTGTATCAATGAAGATATAGCTATACTCATTGATTATATTTCCTTATTTTGCTTTTAGTTTTAATTTGTTGTTTACATTCCATTTAATTTATAATTCCACAAACAGTCATGAGGATTCCACTTGTTTGCAGTTTATTTTCAGATTCTCTAACAAATGTTTGGCTATCAAGCCAAAATTAAATCTGACATAGCCTTTGATGTCCTCAGATTATGAACAAGTGTCCTGTATTTGTAGTAATGTTTATGAAATAAAAGGATTATGGAATCATACAGAGCAAAGCAGTCCCTGATTAAGACATGTTTCAAAGGCTATCTTAGTGTAAAAGAAGACTATGGAAACATGGTGTTTTCTTACTCAAAATGTCTACCTTCTATGCACATTAAGTCTCATATCTGGCACGTTACAAAGCAAAATGTTTAAGGTTGTTTGTTTCTTTACTTTTGTAGTACAAATTTAGCAGTTCATGTTATTACCACTAACACTCTTTATTCCAGCCAATGAATGGCTGATTGTTTAGAAAAACACATTTTAGATTCGGTGACTCAGGAGGCATCTTCCATATTATGTTTTTATATGTAACACTCGGGTACCACCAATGTACAACAACAAGCAGTAACAAATGTGATCTTGAGCAAAGAGCTATTCTACTATGACTTTCAGTCAGTGATTTTTTTCATTTAGTTCTATAAACCAGGCCAGATTTTCCTCATGTAAAAATGGGAGGTATGGAACAAGAATTATCAGACTGGAGAATGAGAGTGCAGAGAATTTTGCAGCTACCTGCTTATCTAGAAACTATATCCTGTGCTTCTGTCAAATTTCTTTATGCTATGTAAGCATTTAAAAAAATAGTAGTTTTCCAGGCCCGCATCTTTCAATATAAAATTTTAATGCTATCTCAATTCAATAATTTTTGCAATGGAGTATAAAACTTGGAAAAAGTAATGGTGTTTTTGTGTACTTGGAAGAGAGTGCTCAAAATATGTAAGGAGACAGTTTGCAGCTTTAGTATGTTGAAGTCATAGATCTGAAGGAACAACATATATCTGTTTACAAAGATCATTTTGGGCAACAAGGATGTATACTGTATATATACAGTTGCTAAAGAGCAAATAAATCTAAAATAACAGCAGCAGCTGATAGAAATTGAATAATTAGATCTTGTGTCATGAAGAATACCTAGCAGAACTGAGCAGTATTGTTTCATGGGGCAACACTGGCCCGGCGAAACCAATTACAAAACTGAGAGGCACTAAGATGGGGATGGAAAGTTCATGTCACTGGGTCAGCTGCATCTGTGATGTGGCCCTTCTAGCCAGTATGATTGAGGACAACTAAACATACGCACTAGGCTACTGCACAAGAGGGGATGCAGTAAGAACTAGAAGGTATTTTAGAAAAAAAAACCAAAACAAACCAGAGGAAAGGAACTGTGTACTTTTAAAAATGATTAGTTGATTGTTTGGCATTATTATTTTGTTACTTTTCTTCTCTTTCAAATAGAGCACTTTTTTATTGTCACTTCTCATTTTTGGAAAAAAAAAACAGTTTCTTGCATGCTCAGATCACATAAGTTTTATTTTCCAAAGTATCTGTGATGAGGACTTTAACCATGGTGCATTAGTGATGTCTAAGGCTTAAGACCATTGTAGCTGCCAATTAAATCCTGACAGAAAGAATACACCTGTGTGTTTGTCATCTGAACTGTGATCACCTTTTTTAAGGGTCTACATGAGCTGCAAAGCAGCAGATTTTATCTTAGCAGTGTGGAGAAAATGCTATAGTGTAATATTTAATAAATTATTTTAATGCATTTTTTGTTAAACATCTATTTAAAATTAAATAAAAATATGAAAAATGAAAAATAAATCCAAAAAAACATAAATTTATGGAGAATTTAAAATATTAAGTGATACATTAGATGCCAAAATTTCAGAGGTAACAGAGCAGAGATCAGTGTCTAAAAACTGTGTTCTCCAAGACAGTAAATTACATGATAACCAGAAAAAAATCAAAATATCTGATAAATATTAATAATTTTAAAATAATTTTTATAAATTAATTGAAATATTAAATGAACCTTTAACCTAACGAATTAAATGTGTTGTAATTTGTTTCCATTCAACTTCATAAGTCTATAATATCTTAACAATCAATGATTAAAGTTTTCACTGTACATTACACTTTTTTTTAAATTCAACTGATCATTGAAAACAATTCACACTGCCACATACCTTTAAAGGTGTCTGGTCTGTGAAAGAAAAGTTACTTGTAAATTGAAGAAATTACTGAAGATTAAAGTGGAATTACACCTGTCTTTCAAAGAGTTAAATGAATTCCTCTTACAAATTCAGTAGTGTGAATATTAATATTTTGTAGTTATGTAGTATTTTCTTTACTAGTTATAATTTCACAGCTTGGTACCTTGAAACAGTACAATTACCTTTGTTAAATTGAATATGAAAAATCAGCTATTAGCTATTTAAACTGTAATTTCTATAAAAAGTTCTTAAAACCTCAAATTATCAGAGAACTACTTTAAAATTCTGTATGTTTGCCACGGAATCATACACTTGACATGTGCTTTTTGCTTCATAATCCAGAAAAGCAATGTCTTGCTCTGAAAAGACCTCACTTTAAAATGAAATTACTTTCACTCCCTTCTGGTCCTGCTAACACTGCAATATAATTTTAGAACTTTAGTTCAACTGCTATACTGTTTATTGCATGAATTATTCTGGACTCCATCTAGCTGGTATGTCGCATAGTGGTTGCCCAAACAGTGTCACTTAAAGGAGGGGGAAAAAAAGTCACTGGTTATAGTTAAGTGATGGGCAACCTATCACTAGTTTTTGAGTAATGTTTGGGCACTTGATAGACACCTTGATATCACACTACCTCGTTAGTAAAAAACTAACACTAAATAGTAAAGAAATATTCTTGTAAATATACTAACAGAAGTTGTACTACAAAATAAGTACTTGTAATAATAAACAACTACTACAGCTAATTTGGAAAAAAAAATCACAAAACCCCCTCCCAACATCCTATCCTAGTTGGTTAAATGTGTTAGGGAAAAGAACTAAAGTCAAACTGCTTAGTCAGTAGTGAACAATCAAAAGGAAAGCACAGCTGCACACTGCTGGTTCCTTTTCAAATTAAAGTCTCCTAAGTGCTTCAAGTGCAGGTGTCTAGTCTTTTATGAATATAATTGGGAATTCTTACAGAAACATGTACATAAAGGTTAAGACAGCTGGTTTAACATCTATTAGTTAGAAATTATATCTGCAGCACCACTGCCTAGTGAACAGAAGTTTCTGTGACAGGCAAGAAGTACTATTCAGAACACAGGCCATTTAAAGAAAATATTGCGGGGGCAGGAGGGGGAGGATTTAAAAGTTTTAGGCAAGAAAATTATATAGATTTTTTGAATTTTCTCTGAAATGTCAATAATAATTTTGAAGAACAGTGCACAAATGATATGTGGACTAAAGTTTGTGGTGAATGGAAAAAGAATATACAGCTATATATGTATTCCCAAAACTATGCTTGTCCTTTGTTCTGTGGAGAATTACGTTCCTCTCAGTTCAGTGGATGAAAAATTGCATCCTTTCTTATCTTATAAATTATGTGGTATTCATAGCAGGCTGGAATGGGTAGGAAACAAAATTTTATGCACAAAGAATGCAGAAATGATACAACTTAAGGCAACAACTGCAAACATTTCTGCAGTTGTATGATCCCACGTGTTTTCAGGTTGCTTAAGCTGGATCTTTCAAAACACTAGGTATGAACTAGTTCTGCAGTACACAAAGCATTTAAATAAAAGTAAACATAACTTTAAGCAAATTTTACTATATCTCTACCCATCAATTATTTTGTCATTATTCTTTAAAAATGCGAAGATTAATACTAAAGATAACAGTTTAGGTCCAACAGGTCAGCAAAGTCAAGCTGTTGCCATGGTTCTGTGCAAATTCAAATGACAAGGTAACATTTTATTGTGTTTGCAAAATTTACTCTGTATCTATGGTAGTAGTTCTTTTCTTGTCTGAATTTAAAAAAACCCACATTGATTTTCTTTGTATTGTACAATAACTCTTTTAATGGGTTTCAGCTGAATGTATGGGGGACTAGAGAAATTATAAATCAAGTCTTGATATAAATAAGCTTGAGATACTTCACAAGAATTGTATCAAAGTTCTATTTGAGTTAATATTGATTTATCCTCCAATAAGGAGATGCTCCTGTTTGCTCTTTCCTTGGTTTAGTTGAGGCCTTTGCTATAAAATTAAAACCATGTAAAACCTGTGAAATAAACTTCTTTATTGTGGTAGAGAGTGGATCATACCTGTGAATCCAGGTAGACAGAAACACAGATAGCCTCCAAGCCTGTTGATGCAGCTTCCTCCATGCAAACAAGGCAAAGTTTCACACTCATTTACATCCATCTCACACAAAGACCCATAGTATCCAGGTGCACAGTTACAGATGAATCTTCAGAAAAGGGAAAATCAGGTAAGTCAACAGAAGTAACAGTGTGATCTATTCCAATATTTTGAAGCTTTATATATCTCCTGATGTCAAGTTAGTGTCCCTAACCCTCATCCATATTAAAATAATGAACAAACTTTTCTAATTTCCATTCTTCTGAAGCAAGCAGAGTGATTTACTCTTTGTTAAATTAGTAGAAAAAAATGGGCACAGTAATTTTAATTGAAGGTATAAGGAATGACTTAAGGACTAGTAGTCTTCTGGCCCAAGTCTTGTGGAGTGCTGTTGAAAAAACATATGGTACAAGTTTTTCTCTTTCTTTCATTTAACTTTTAGTAAACCTTTACATTTGAAAAAGTCACTGTTGGACGCTGAAAAAAGAGATGCATGTAGCAATCTAACTCAAGATCAATTTTCTTCTATTTCAGTCTTTTTCCAAATAAGTAAAATAATAATAAAATAAGTAAGAGACTTTTCCCCTTCTAATTTCCTTCCAGTTTGCATATGGACAGAAAACTGAGTCAGTAGGATTGGCCTGCTTTACTTTAACACCAAATCCTTGTCATATGCTTAAGGTCCCATCCAAATATCAAGGCAGTAAGCAGAATTAAAGTAATAAAATCAGGGAATCAGATTTCATTTAGTAGTCACTAGCCTGTTAACAAGATCCAGGCAAGTTCCATTGTTTTTGCAGGGTCTTGATAAGCATTCATTGATCTCCACTTCACACAGGGTCCCAGTATAGCCATGTTGGCAGGAGCATCTAACAAAAAGGATGTCAGTAGATTAATTTTTAGTTCATTCTAAAGAGTCCAGAAAAACACAGCAGATATTGAGGGGTATGAATTATGTGGTGCCAAAATCATGTTTGCTTTTTTTCGGGTCATTACAAAAAACTATATTTTAACAGGCTTCACAAGTACAGTGACTGTAGACCAGTAAATAAAACTTTCGTCATTATTAGCTGAAGGCCACAGGCTTTGTGCTAAATCCACTGTGCAAGGGTTTACATAGGACTTGCCTTGGACTGAGCTGGTTTTCACTTGTTTTGACACCTGCCCTGGAGCCAAGTAACTGATGCCTCCTGTGCTATAGCTTCAGGTCTGCAAATAGCACATATGGTGAGAGTGCAAGACACTGGGATGATCATGTGTCCCACACTTGAAGGATGGGATGCCATCCTCCAGAATTGGGCTCATGGGAATCTTGTGAGGTTTAGTAAGACCAAGTGCAAGGTGCTGCACCTGGCTTGGAGCAACCCCTGGTATCAGTATAGGCTGGGGGATAAACAGATCAAGAGCAGCCCTGCTGGCAAGGACTTGGGGGTCCTGGAGCATGAGAGACTGGACATGAGCCGGCAATATGTGCTTACAGTCCAGAAAGCCAATTGTATCCTGGGCTACATCAAAGGGCCAGCAGGTCAAGGGAGGTGATTCTGCCCTTCTACTCCAGTCTGGTGAGACCCCGCGTGGAGTGCTACATTCAACTCTGGGGTCCCCAGCACAGAAAGGACATCAGCCTGTTGGAATAAGTCCAGAGGAGGCCACCAAGAACCGTTAGAAGGATGGAGTATCCCTCCTACGAGGAAACTCTGAGAGTTGTGGTTGTTCAGCCTAGAAAAGAGAAGGCTTAGGGGTGACCTAATTGTGGTCTTCCAGTACCTGAAAGGACCTCACAAGAAAGGAGAGGGACTTTTTACAAGAGCATGTAGTGATAGGTCAAGGGGGAACGGATTCAAACTAAAAGAGAGTACATTTAGATTAGATATTAGGAGGAAGTTCTTTGCTGTGAGGGTGATGAGGCACTGGAACATGTTGCCCGGAAAAGTTGTGGATGTCCCATCCCTGGCAGTGTTCAAGGCCAGGCTAGGTGGAGCTCTGAGCAATCTGTTTTAGTGAAAGGTGTCCCTTCCAGTGGCAGAGTGTTTGGAACTAGATGATCTTTAAGGCCCCTTCCAACCCAAACCATTCTATGATTCTATGTGAGCTGGGGAAACTGGTAAACAGTGCAGAGGAAGTAAATTGTGACAAGAAAATACACAGAAAAGGCTCCAAGCAGACCTGAGACTGAAGATGAGAGAACCCCTACTGTAAAAATCACACTTCTCATGAAAAAGACTTCCTGATGCCACTGACTCACGGTAATACTGCCAGTTCTTCTTGAGGAAGATCTAAATCACTGATCACAAGATCCAGACATTGTGAGAGTAATCATAACAAAGGATACAAGAGCTATGTAATTGCAAGATTTCTTACATAACAACTACAACTAAATTGTTCATGAAGATTTTCTATTTATTTCAACTCAGATTATTTGCATTATTTTAACAGGACTAACAACAACAGTTTTCTGGATTTTATTAGATTCTTAAGATTTTAATTAACCCTACAATAGATTTTTGGGTTCACATGTATGGTGTACATGTGTGACTTTTTGCTCACAAGAAGATCTAGACTGTAATGTAGCTATCAAAGACATTGAAGGTCAACAGACATTAGACAGGCAAAGCACCAAAGCAATAGCTAGATGATAAACATCCATCTATCATACTGTATATCTGTCATTCGAATAATTTTCCTCACCTGTAGTGGTTGATCCCATCCACACAGAGACCTTCATTTTGGCACGGATGGGAGATGCACTCATCACTGTTAACTTCACAGTAAGTACCCTCAAATCCTGAAACATAGATCACATTAACTGTGAATGAATGAACTCTACTACATGATCTAAATATAAGGGTCACAGCTTCTCTTGGAGGTTTGGCTGTCTGAGTCTAGGAGCAACTCAGACAATGCAAGTGGCAGGCCTGAGAAACCTAAGCTGCACTTGAAGCCATTCAAGAAGGAGATGAGGGAAGTATCAGCAATGACTACCTCTTCTTTTTGGAGCATTCAAGCTGAGGCTCTTTGCCCTGGGTGTCTGACTGACCTGTGTTGTGGCCATGTGCATGCCTAGCCATGTAGCTGCTTATTTGAATGCTGACTTTGGTCTTCAGAGTAGCTTCCTGGCTTGACCTTGGATGTGTCCCATTCCCCGTAGCTTTGACTGGTGCTCTGGCATGCTGTGCTGATCCTAGATACAGCCATTGGGCCTGACCTGCTTGCCATATTCATATACTGTCAGAGAGCAAGGTCCCTGCTCTGGCAGCCAAGGATTCCTGGCTTACCTTTGCTCCTGGAGCAGTCACTGCTCGCTGACTCTAAAATCAGGGCAACAAGTGGAAGGAAATAATCCTAAAAGAATTTTCTCCAATTATTTTTGTCCTTAGTTTCAAATAATTTCCAGACAGTGTATGAAGTCTTAGGATACTTTAATGAACCAGAGAGAACAGATTTGGTATGAGCATCTGTTTAAATATACTGGGGAAATGTACCCCTTTTTAAAAGACTGAAAAGGCTTTCTTGGGGAGTGCAGAACAAAAGAAACTAAAAGCTTATATTAATTCAGTAATTAATATATTACAGAGCATAGTGGAAGTTAGAGAGACCACATTTATTCAAAGCAGTCAGTAGCTGAGAAAAAAAAAATTAAGTGGTTTTAATATTTAAATTAAGAAAAAATGTGATTAAGATCTTATCTGCACAGTACATTGCTTGCATAATACATTACATTTACCTGTGTAAATGTTCCAGAATATACACTAAAAAGAAATAAGTCATGTTTCAGTGATACATGAACACTATTTCTGCTCTTAGAATGCTATATCTTAAAACTTCCACCTAAATAAATGTTCTGCTAAATGCATGGTTGTGTTAAAATTCTATACATACAGTGACTAAACTATAGCTACTTAGTTGAATTTTGCACAAATTAAATATATATGTTTTCAATTGATGTAATAATGAAACCACTACAGTGAGTAAACTATTTGCACTGCAATGAGAATACACGACTCCTGATTGCATACTGACTAAAGAACATTTATGGTGTTCAACAAGCATTTTTGAACATCAGTTAGATGAAAAATTTAAACTAAGACAACTATAAAAAATAGTTACTAAAATTCAGTATATATTACTATATACTGAATTCAGTATACTGAAATTCAATATATATTACTATAAACATGATGAAGGTTTTATTGGATGTTTTGTTAAAGCAACAAGGAAAATTTGTTCCCTATACCTTTTTAGATACTCAAATAAGGATAATAATTGCTTTTATTGCTATATAATATATTTTTAGTTTTCAAAGTACTTAATGAAAGTGGGGAGATCATGAAAGACAATAGTTAGAATAGTATGGCTTATTTTTATCTAGAGAAAACCATTACTGGAAAAACAAATGTCTTAGTCAGAGTTGTAGGGAAAACTGTAGAAAGAAATCTCTGCTGGCACTCTGATATATGTTCTAAACGTGAGCCCACATCAAAGTAGTTGGTATTTTATTCTTAGCAAGATTATTTCTGTTTAACAGCTTTCTGGGCAAGACCTGACTGAAATGAGTTCTTAATATTTGCTGAAGGTCTCACAGCAGTGTGTGCTACAAAGGTGAAAAAATAAAGCCTGGAATATATCTCAGTTTAAACTAACCCTTCAATTACAGTCACTTATACTGCTATGATGTTATTCTTTTTTTCAGAAATGTCATGCTTCAGGAAATGAAGGGATACCCTCATTTATTTACTATTTGTATGATATTTCACAAAAAAAAACCCAAAACACAAACACCCAATGGTAAAAGAATTGCCATAATAAGGAAAAAATTATCTGTCCCAGTGTACTGCTTTGAAGTAGCTCCCTCAGCACAGGCAACCTTGTTGTATTTTGAATGTTTTAGTTTATTATTTGCAAATGACTCTGAATCAGAGTAAACAATACGAACATTTTTCTTATCTGTAGCATGTGAAATATGCATCTTAATGCTGCGATTTGAACCTTCATCTGTATCTGCCTATAGTTTAAGCAAAAAAGAAAAGAACTATAAACTAGCACTCCAGAGACCAAGTTCAGTACTAGACCTGGTCACTGACACACACACAAAATAATCAGTAGCTGTCCTTTTAAAACATGCCACTCCAGTTCCACTGGGTAAGAGCAGAAAAGATAGTAACGTTTCTCTAACTCTGGCTTAATTAAGAAATTGGAGGCCATAGTGAGAGACCAGGATCCACAAGGCCATTTGTAGTCAACTTCAGCATCTGTGATTTCTCATTTATTTGTAATGTTTGACATTTTTGAAATTAAGTTTCATTACAGAGTAGAAGGCTGTGCCAATGGGCAGGGGAAATGCAGTTTCACTGAAATTAGTACATTTAAAGAGAAAGCAAACCAGTGTAATACTATGAATAACTCAGAGATACTCCACAAAGTTTGCACACCCAGTAACCAAACAGAGCAGGTTATATTGCTGAAACTAGTACATATTCATTACATTTCTATTACATATTTATTACACTTCCTGAATACATGCTAATTATTTCTGTGGACTTATGTGGACATGGTTTTGGGTCTTCTGGTGAATCTTTTCTACTAAAGAGTGTCTCAAATATGTGGTCAAGTCATAAGGTACTTCTCCTATCATTCTTTGCTCTAACATGCAGTCCTTGTTCTCAAAACTAAGACATCTGCTAGTACTTATTAGTCTCTGATACAGATAAATGACGAAGCAATAGCTGGCAAAAGACACAATATCAAAATGCTACTGTACTGAAGTTAAAAGAATTTTCCCACATCTTTGCCCACTGCTGCATAGACTCCCTTTTAAAAGAAAATATCACTTATTTGGTAACAATCCTGGTAACAGGTTTGATGCTGTAAAGTGGTTTTTATTTGTTAAACATATTTTGCTGTATTTTTCCTGTCACATTAGAAAAACTGAAGGTGTAAACAGAATCTCATTGCCTTACTGGTATCTATATATTTTTTTTTTTAAATCAAAGGGATACACTACTTAGTTTGAAATACTTATTATTTTGTCGAAAATATATAGGCATTTTTGAGGAAGTGAAATGCACCTCAGAAATGTTAACACTTTTTATAGTAACAGAGAACATTTTCCAGACTGTCAGAAATTAACAGAGATGAAAAACAATTGAAAATCATTACAGTACTTTGTGTTAGAAAATCTACATTTATTTCTCTATATTTCTAATTGTTCAGGTGACATGAAAGTGACTTTAATGATATGAGGTCTAGAAATGTCTTAAATGCTGTTACTTTAAGATGGACATTCCTTCTGTTTCTCTGAAATATAGGAAATGAATCCTGCATGTCTTAACTCTCTCTGTGAGATTTTTGGGAGCTGCAAAGTGAAAGAATATACAGAGTATAGAAGCTAAATATCTGTTGTCATATTTGGTATGACCAGTCTTCACGAGCGAAGATTTGGGAAAGGTCTTTACCCTTCGAACCTGCGCAATGGATTTTTTTTTTTTTAGGTGAGACACAGTGTACGCTGAACTGAGCCCACCCTTTAATCCTAAGGTTCATCTGCCGGGGCCGAGCGAGCTTGGACAGTGGCAGCGAGGTCCTCAGGACATAGGTTTGTTTAGAGTGACCTTCTCTTAGATGGATTGCCTTACAGGGCTGACGAGCTCCATCTGCCCAGGGGACTTTTACCCTGACCGGGAATCGAACCCGGGCCACAGCGGTGAGAGTGCTGCATCCTAACCACTAGACCACCAGGGGACCCCCTGTCATATTTATGATCATTTTTATCTCTTTTTTCCATTGCAGAGAAATACTACAGAATTGACCTCTGCAGGTAACATAGAGGACTAACAGGATCCTAAAAGGATTCTTTCGCTATAAGATCTCTACTATTTTATTCATCAACACAGTATAAAGGATTATATTTATATTTGTCTCCTTACCATGAACCATTTATGAACCAATGTTTGCAAGCAGCAGAGATATCACAGCCGCCCCATAATCATTAGTTCAGGTACTTGGGTTATTCAGCATGACAAAGGCAGGTACATATATCAAAATCAAAAGTGTGTAAAATATTAGGCTCTGTAAAAAGGCTATTTCTATCTGTGAATTATGTATGTGTGTGCCTGAAAAAGAAACTGGCATAGAGGGGCTCAGGAATCTGACAATGGTAATCTGAATTTGTATAATTTCTGTTCTTCAGCATCCACTTATTATTTCTGCTTGGTATTATAAAGTTTGTGCATTATTATGATTTTCACTTAGCCTTGTTTCAGACATGGACTTAAAGATATTTTGCCTCAGTTCAAACTTCTAGCTCTAACATCCTATAGACCAAATAAAAATAGTCACTAGCATGCTAGAACAAAGGATATAAAAAAACAAGGTCTCATGGGACAGAGTTATTGACAGTAGTCTGATAAGAGGTTAAAAAGTCCTGGAAAGAACTTTTTAAGAACAAGGACTTCAGAAATTACCCTGAAGCATCAATAGAGTATTGCTTTTAGAAGGACTACTTGGAAGATAAAGAAAAAATAAGGTGGCTAATGCCAGTACAAGCCGTAGCTATTGTTTCTCCTTAGACATAATACAGTGCTCTTCCTAGATATCTTTAACAAATTTTCCTGGAACAAGACACATAATTTCCCTACACCCTAAAACTGGTGGTTGTAACCTTGAGACTCCTGCAATTCCTCTTGCATAAACCAGGTTTTTTCAAGTTCTCAACTTTTAGCCTTATATCTTTAAAGCTGCAATGAGCACAAATAAGATGACAAAGCTTTTGAGTACTTATGTGCTGTAATGACGTAAGTTGCTGCTCTCTGTTCTTTTTACATCTCTTTAAAACTGTGCTTCCCAGAACTGTGTAGATTAAAAAAAAAATCCCTACAGCAATAATAATCCAGCAACAGGTAACTGCTAAAAAATTCAGCCTGTCTACCATTTGACAGAATTGTCCTAAGCTGCCTAAATAGTCAGCAGAGTGACATAAATATTTCCATAGCATTAGCCATTTGACTCTGTATGTCTGCTTTTGAGTGAAATGCATAACCTCAGAAAATGACAGCACCTTAATGTAATACTGTGGACATCTATATCTGGTCAAATTAATCCAGGTATTTCTAGTGTATTTGTTTCAAAAATACATACAGTATTTAAATGATCTAATTTCTCATCTGATTATCATAACTCATTAAAATGTTACTGAGTTAACACAGAAGCTGATCAAATAATCCATATTTTTGAAAACAGTACATAAAGCTTTGATATGAACACTCTCTCTATAAGTATGCAATGTATAATGTATAGTGTTTCCTGATAATTTTCCATCACAACCTAACAGGTAAGAAGAAAATTGCTTCCACTGTAATAAGGAGGCTGCATAAACATAATGAGTTTATCCTATCCATGTTACCTGGACTAATGAAGCAAGATCTACGTCTAATTTTAGTGAGAGATTCATTTCTACCTTTTAAGAAACAGAAATTTCAAGAACTGTCTTAATTAACAACCTTGCCTTTCACTTCCTGTTTTTGTGTCAGCAACAACTATCTGCTGTTGCTACTAATCTTGCCTTGCTTTAGCTCCTAGATATATCTACTCAATTCTCATAGAAGAATAAATCACTCTTATAAAACTCTCTTATTAGAAAACACTAGATATTTTCTGGCCCATAGTTTATGGTTGCAAATTATTTCTTTATCTTGTTATTCTCTACAATATTTATGTGCTCGTAATTCCCCACGTTTCACACTTTGTGAAAATTGTTACCTTTTATGTCCCACTTCATCATTAATTAAGGTTTTTTTTCAACAGTCCTAGCCAGAGAGCTGATCTTGCACTGTGTAGTTGTATGTCCTCTTATAGTTTTTCCTCATTCTGAATATATCTTTTTCAGTAATTTTTTTGGTGTGGAACAAAATTGTTCTCAGAATGCTGAACTATTTTTACCGAACTGCCCTGTCTTTCCTTTGTATTGTCTTTATAAAACTAACACTTTTGTTCTTGACATTATCTAGAAAAGCATGGGCTAATGCCCATACTCTATTTCCAATCTAGTTCACTTATATATATATTTGGATTTTTTGCATGTAGACTTTTTTGGGAATTTATGAATAGGCTCAACTACAAATATTTCATTATTTAAATTCTATAGTTTTGCTCACATTTCCTACCTTGTTCTTCTGTTACATTAAATTTCCATTTCTATTATTAAGATTAATTCCAAGAATGGAATTCCTTAAGAACAGAAAAGCATGTTGATAAATTAAGCAATAAAATTCCACTATTTGCCCTAAGTTTTCCATTTCTTCTCTGTATTGTTTGCATTTAGTATGTACAGTGCTGGTTACATGCATAACAGCTCAAAACCCTATGTCCTTCCAATTGCCTTGATCAAACCCTTGCTTATCTATTTCTGGCAAAGTACATAAGAAGAGATGTTTTCTGTACACATTTTCAGAAACTTGCTCTATTGCAGTGATTCTTAAACTTTTGCAATAACTGCCTCCCCTACAACATTCTTGCAACCATCAATATAACACCATACAATTGTAGAGATCGTAATGTTTTAAACTGTTAAATTTGCTTGTGTGGACAATTTAACTTAAAGTTATGGTCTAACACTGTTCCAGAATCTATGATATGAGATCTCAGTTTGTTACACAAATGTTATCATCTATCTCCTTGCAGGAAGAAACCCTCTATATCTAGGGCAGACAGCTCAAGTGGAAGTTTTACACTAATGCTATTTATCGAATTCTAGAAGTCTTTAGAGCAAAAAGAGACAACTGTAGTTCCCTAACATACATACAAGAACAAAGATGCAGAGTTTTACTTTATACTACAACTAATGATGGCTTTGTTATCTTCCTACCAATTTTCTGTGGTAATTCTGTCCTAGCCTAATATCCTTCATACTCTTTTTTTTTGGCTGATTCCAACTGGTTGAGGTTCAATAAGGCCAAGTGCCAGGTCCTGCACTTTGGCCACAACAACCCCATGCAGCACTACAGGCTGGGGACAAAGTGGCTAGAGAGTAGCCAGGCAGAAAGGGACCTGGGAGTTTGGACTGAGAGGAAGCTGAATGTCAGCCAGCAGTGTGCCCGGGTGGCCAAGAAGGCCAATGGCATCCTGGCCTGGATCAGGAACAGTGTGGCCAACAGGACCAGGCAAGTGATTCTTCCCCTGTACTCAGTGCTGGTGAGGCCACACCTGGAGTACTGTGTCCAGTTCTGGGCCCCTCAGTCCAGGAAGGATATTGAGGTGCTGGAGCAGGTCAAGACAAGAGCAACAAGGCTGGTGAAGGGATGTGAACACAAGTCCTGTGAGGAGAGGTTGAGGGAGCTGGGGTTGTTTAGCCTGGAGAAGAGTAGCTCAGGGGAGACCCCATCACTCTCTACAACACCCTGAAAGGAAGTTGTAGCCAGGTGGGCATCAGTCTCTTCTCCCAGGCAGCTCTTAGTAAGATAAGAGGGCATGGTCTTAAGCTGTGTCAGGGGAGGTTTAGGTTAGATATTAGGAAGAAATTCTTTACAGGGAAGTGATGGATTCTCCGTCCCTGGAGGTTTTTAAGATGAGACTGGATGTGGTACTTAGTGCCGTGGTCTGGTAACCAAAGTGCTGTTGGATCAAAGATTGGATTTGATGATCTCAGAGGTCCTTTCCAACCCAGCTAATTCTATGATTCTGCCCAATTTACATTCTATCGGCTTTTGTCTTCTCTGACCTAGCCCAGCTCCCTTTAATCAGGAGATAGTCTCTTTTCCTTCTAAATAGGTGCCACTGTCAATAGCATGACTTATGGTCCTCTTGTGCCCATCTCAGATATGGTGTTCTATAGATGATCGTTAGAATTTGGTAAGTGCAGCTACATTTTGTGAATCCTGCTAAGCCAGATTCATACTTTCTAATGACTGAACTGTTAACTACTGGCAAACAGTTTAATCCACATACCATTTGCCACTAAATTGGGTGTCTTGGAGTAATCTAGCTATGTCAATGTGATTGCCCTTTGTATCAGATCTATAATCCTAACAAGTTTATCGGGAGAAAAAGGGAGGCACATGGCAGACAAATATAGATTAATTTAGAAAAGAAGACAACTGAAGAATTAGATTTCATCAAACTCCTTTCAATTAAAATTCTTTATTTTACTATCTCTCTTTTTATGCTGAGTCCTGAATAAATGGTTGCATTTTTCCTAGCATGAATGATTAACTCACTTCATGAATTATGCCTTTAATCCCTTTTCAATGATGAATTTTCCCCTTTCCAAGATTTGTTAGCAATGCATGTTACTGATTCACATAACTTCCCTGCTACTTCCCTGAATATTTCCTAGCTACAAGCTTCAAGATTCTTGAAGATTCCATCAAAGCTCTCCAAGAATTCTGACAGCAAGCTTTTTTGATTCTTCCGCAACTGCACAAAAATGTTTGGAAAACATGACTTTTCTGAGGAATGTTAAAAAAAACTTGAACTACATGTCTCTCTACAGATCATTTCTGAAAAAGGTTTCAAAAATCAATACATTGTGTCAAAAGCTGTTTTTAAAAAGCAGCTTTTCTTAAAGCTGCTTCAATAAGCAACTTGCATACCTCCCCAGTGACTTCTTTTTTTAACTCAGCAGCTTGTGGTAGCCTGTACCTTAATGGTAAAAAACCCCAAGATATTACATACTCCTGATTCTTATGTATTATGTCCATATCTTTGTAGCTCAATAAATGACATGTAACACTCCAATTAATGTATGTGGTATCCTCAGTACCTAAGACACCCCTACCTCTATAGGCATGACAATGATGACTTCAAAATCCTTCCTAAATGCTAAATTTCCAAATTTTCACTAGTTAATGTGCTCCACAATTCCTACGCAGAATCACAGTGATGTTCTGCACAGTTAAACTGTTACTCCGTTCCATCTTAGAAGTTCTTGCATATCGATGGAGAGATTGTGTCTTTTAAGCAATGGCCCAGGAAAGCTGTCAGCAACTGTTGTGATTTTGCTTGTTATGCATAGAGAGAGCAATCCGCTGTATCCATTAGGCAAAGAAAGATTACTTTCCTGATGTGCCAGGCCTTCCTGACAGCTCAGGAGGAAAAGAAACCATTTCCAACTTGCTCCAATTTTTGTACTTTTAACAATTTGCATATATTTTGTCTACTTTTGCCTGTCTGTTTTGTCAATTTATTTTGTCAGCTCTACTGGCCAGGTGTATGTCTATCTCTATGCCATTGTAACAATTGACTCAGAAATAGTAATTCTGAGTCCTGAACCTAAACCACCATAGATTTAATAAGTATTGTAATATAAGAAATTAATAGTAGGCAAATTGACAGCTATCTTACCAGTCTTTTAACACAACAGATAGACCTGATGTAATTCTTGGTGGGTTTACGTGCTTTGAAAAGTATATTTTGCTACTTAAACTGAAGATAGCGATAAATTCAATACATATTTGCAACTTTTCTGCAGCACAACAGACAATGGAAGAGATTAACCATACCAGTCCTTACCTGTTTTGCAAATGCACATTGGATTTCCATCCACTTGTGCCAAACAGGTTGAATTGTTTATACATGGATTGTAAGGCAGCTCACAAGGACTGAAGCGCTGGTGGCAGAAATTGCCAGTATAAAATGGAGGACAAATGCATACAAACTGCCCCGGCTTCACAGACTCATAGCAGGTGGCTCCATTCAAGCATGGTTCAGATTCACATTCATTTATATCTTCACTACAGTCTGGTCCTGTCCACCCTGTTGTACATATGCATCTGGATGGAGGGAAAAAAAAAAGTGTTGACATGGTGGCTGAATGAAAATCAACAACTTAGCCCAATTGGTTCCAACTATTTCTATTTAAAAAAGAAACAAAACTAGAAACAAAATCAATTATATTTTTCATCTTTTCATAGCTTTTCTTTTCCTGGCAATTGTATCAGATTGCACTATGAATAAAAGTTATATTCAGCTTCTTCTCCCACCATTTATTCGAACAAAAGCAAAAAGACTTATTCTAGGTCACAGTATGACTCGGAGAATCATCTGGTTTAGCGGATACTGACAAAATCATCTCTGGGTCTTCTTTAAGCTGGAGCAACAGAACAAATTATCAAACATGAAATGGAAATTTCCTTAAGATTGAGGATTAGAAGGACATCTTTTTATATGTGTGAAACTAGTAGGTACTTCAGTGTTTGGGATGAAATGCACCACGCAGCATATTCAGTACACTCTAAGAAAGAGGGTAGGAGGTCAAAAGCATTATGAAGTATCCTATTTTCATTGTGTTCTTTCTCTTTTTGGTATTCTCTTGTGAAGATCTGTTAGTGATAAAACAGAAGAGAAAAACGACCGAAATCTAAATTACATCTGCTTGTAAAGAAGCTATCTTCATGACTTAGATATCTATTTTTATTCACAACATGAATATGATAATTTTCTATAAATTAAAATATAATAATTTGCTAATAATTTCAAAGTTTGCAGAGCAAAATTTTTAGTTTGCTGCAATAGAAGAAGGTTCGTTATACTTCAAAAGTCATGTATTCCTGTTACTTTCACTGAAGATAAAAAGGAAATCAACATATATTTGCAACTCATTTTCAGGACAAGAGACAATATGAAAGATGAACTATACCAGCTTTTATCTACTTTGATCAATATTGATTTCAGGCATTAAAACATTCAAATATATCTTCATAGTTCTAATTTGATAAAAGGAATTGTTCTTAAATAATAAACAGGTCATTTAATGGAGAATCAGTAATGTAATTCTGTTCTGTAAGGCACAGGTATTGCTTGCCAAACAAAAGGCAAATTTCACCCTTTAAAACACTTCATTTACAGTGTTTTCTTTGGAATTTTTAATGTTCTATGTTATTGATTTTTGGGGTATAATTTCCAAGTCTCATGAAATGAAAAGGATATAATGAAGCAACTTTATCATTTGAAAGGCCTGAGTATTTTATCAATAAGGATTCAAAAATCAGGTTACTGTATGTTTCTCATGGGAAGAGAGCTGTCAAAAGGCATTCAGGCAATCTTAAAATAACTCTGACAAAAATCACATTTTAGGACTCATTTATCAGTTATAACATCCAAAGTATACTTTTGGAAATATGATTACAAGTAAATATGCTTTGTTATTCTATGCTTGTACACAAAAATCATACCTGCTTTTGTTATACATGACAGAATCAATCTAGTATCTACAGGCAACGCCCACTAATACTGCACCCACAACTCAACACTTTGTTTAATTTTCTCCTGATTAGTCAACACATAAAAGTATGAGCCTCTTACAAATTAAGTATCTCCAAATGTCTGAAACTGGACATAGTAGAACACTCTGTCCCAACAGATCAGAACATAGATGTTGTTTGTTTTATGGAAGCTCATTTTTTTCTTGACTTCATTTATAAAGTTCTGAATAAATAACTATCAATGAACTACTACAAAGTGTCTATACTCCATTTTTAACTTGGAGAGCCTTTCACTTCATATTAGGAGAACATGGTTCAATTCTTAACTGGTCTGACTTCAGGGACATAACTGAGGTACAGAGGAGAGCACATTAAACATGTTTCATTCCCTTCTTCCTAATGAGTTTCATAACTGCCTTTGAGTTATCAAAACTATTCTGTATGGCCACAGGGAACATTAGGTCACTGAAACACAGCAGTTTTTTACTCTACACAACTAGCCAGTCCTACCCTGGCTTCATGCCACCTGCCAACTGAGATGTAACAGTCAATATTAATGCAAAGAAGACAATCACAGAGCTTTTGTACTTGTTTCTATACTATCAAAAAAGTTGCTGGTGACATCATTAGAAGTGAAAAAATATATAGTAGTGTCTATCCTGAGGCCCAGTTTTAAGAATAGAGACAAAATCTTGTCTTAATGAGAACTACTATTTAAATAAGGTAAGGAAGTGTTATGATTATTAAAGGCAGATTATTAATTAAGCTACTATAGCTGGTATTCTTGGACACCATGTGATCAAAAGGCAAAACCCCAAATAGTCTTTTTCAAAATGACTATTTTTTTTCCACTGTGTTAGAAAAATCAAGATGATTTCTAGGATTCTCAGGGGAAAAAGAAAAAAAAAAAGCTAATATATGCTTTTAAGAGACCATATAAAGATAAGATAGTCAATGCTGAACTTCTTTGTGTTGTTTTACCAACATAAACATTTTTTTTCAATAACCAAATCCAAATATTCCCATTGATATTTCAAAACCAAATAATGCATGGCTCTTTTCTGTAAACTATTCATTTTAACAATATAAGTCACATATAGCGCTTTAACTGTGAAATGCATAGAACTTCTTTAATACATACAGATCAGCTTCCATAAGAACTGTTGACTTTCCATACAGCTCCCCACAAATTTAAGAGCTTTCTGTACAGTTACAAACCAAAGGAGAGGGTAATGAAAATAGACAGTATAAATTATATTCACGGTTTTGTATTTTACTACCTGTTTAAACATTAGAGTCAAAGTTGAAAATTGCAAGCTATAATCATGAACGGCATCCAAAAAACTAATATTAAAGTTCTTCTATCTCTATATGATGCGTTAAATATTAAATTCTTTGGTTCTTACCTGCTTTAAAACTCCCTTTTTACTTCTCACATTCCAGTGAAATATACAGGTATCAGTTGCTGTATATCCTACCTTAAAAGTTTTAAGGAATTAAATAAGAGGAAAGAATCTTAAGATTTCCTCAATGGTTGATTTTGGATAAAAGTTTCTGAGGTTCATCTAGACCCCCCTGCTCAAAAAAGGTTCAACTAGATTTTTCTCATGTCTCAGTCCAGTTTCATTCTGAGTATCTCCAAAGATGGAAACTCCACAACCACTCTGGGCACACCTGTTCTACCACCTGACCACCCTCACATTAAAAGGGAGCAGTATCTTATCTTAAAATATTTCATATAGTTTAGCTTTTATCCATTACATCTTGTCCTGTCACTGGATACCCCGAAGAAGAGTCTGCCTCCACCTTTTTTCACTCCCTTCTATCAATTATTTACACACATTGGGAAGAGCTTCCCTGAGCCAAAACCATTTTTTCAACATGCTAATCAGAAAAGCAGTCTACTTTGAATCTTGAGAGTTCTAAAGTGGTTGTCTATCAATTAGAAAATTATATTGGTGGGCTTATTCCAACCTAGTTTAGCTAGAAGCTCCGGAAAAATGCCAAGGCGTGACAAAAGCAGCAATGCAGATGAATACACCAGAGCAGAATAAATTTTAGAAGGAGGCATTCTTTTTGCTTTCAGACATCTTACACCAGAAAAATAGAAGAAACCAGTCTTTTCAGTTCTCTGTATTTCATAAAAAAATTTTCGGATAACATACAGATGTTTTTGCAGAAAAAATTGCAATATTTGAGATGCAGTAGAACTGCTTTTTCCTTAGTGGTTCAGTCAAAGAAAGAGGAATCCTAAACTGAATTCTCAGGTACAGCATGTACATCATTCACCCACCTCCTTATTTCACAGGCTCTTGATGAGAAACAGTAAGACATTCAATGACGTTTAGGTCAGCCTGTTGGACATACAACACAGGGAACAACGGTCCATTCTATAGTAAGGATTTATGTTGTCTTGTTCATTCAATCAAATCAACTAACAGCCTGAGAAACCACAGTGCTCAGTGACAAGTTTATTCCTTGTAAGCTACAGGCTATTGGACCATTTGAAGTAGTGAAATGAAAGCTTGCTTTCAATATATACAGAGATTGGAATTTAGAGCACAAACACACACCACAAAGCTCCAAGGACATATACTTCCAGTTCCCACAAAGGCTTCAAATGCTCATTTTTCTCTCTCTTCTTTCCTCCTACAAATATATTTTTTGCTTTTATACGTGGAACTCTTAATGTGTTTTTTGTTTCACAAACATGTTCTGCCAGACTCTACCTGCAAAAGCAATTATGAGTTTACATCTGATGCTATTAGATCTCTGATGTCATATGTCAGTCCTGGATGGTCTCCTTATATTTTCACCTATGTCTCTCCTCCTCTCCCCTGAATTTCTCTAAGCCTCCCTTTACTATCACTTCAAATATTCCTTTCCTACTTTATTCTTAGAGGTCTCTTATTTGCAGCCAATCAAATATGACACAGATTAACTAATTAGAGAGGTCATTATTGGTGGCAGCCTGGGCTGCAATGCTTATGCAATCATGCTTATGCAATCAAGTGCTTATGCCCTGATGGAATTAACAATCTTGAGGGATATGGGCCACCTGATGAGTAGTCAGGACCTTGAATTTTAGGAGAGAAAACTTTCATCTGATTGGCAGATTAGATTAGACTTTAGACCCAGTGGCAGATGAGATCCCCTAGGAAACTGCCTTCGGGAATAAGGGATCTAAACAAAGCTGGCAGCTCTTTAAGGACGTTTGTTTTAGAGTGCAGGAGCTCTTGATTTCCCCATGTAAGAAATCAGGCAAAGAAGGCAGGAGACCAGCATGGTAAGTACCCCCTAGGTAAACCGAAAGGTAAGAAGCAAATGCACAGCCAAAGAACAAGGGACATTTATCCTGGGAATAATATAGGATGCTGTCTGGATATGTAGGGGAGGGATTAGGAAAGCTAAGGCATATTTGGGGCTGAATTTGGCAAGAGATGGAAATAATAATAAGAAGGATTTTACATGTATGCTGGCTAAAAAAGTAAGAGTAAAGAAAATATACCTCTGAAATAAATAAGACAGGAGAACTGGTGACAACCTACGCAGAGAAGACTGAGGTATTC